TGAGGGTGGGCGACCATCAGCCATCTGTACTTTTCCAGCTCGGCCTGGGTCGCCTTTGCAGTGTGAGGTCGGGCGTTGTCATGGTGGAAGTAGATTTCCGCATTCCTTCCACGAGTACGGTCGACGTGATCTTTCAATTTCCGCAGCTGGGTCACGTATGTGGAAGCGTCAATCGTCTGTCCCTTCTCCAGCAGCTCCCAGTACTCCATGCCTCTTCTGGACCACCAACAGGACAGGAGAACCTTTTTGGGGTGAAGGTCGGCCTTTGGGGTGGCTTCTGGCTGTTCTCCTTTGTCGACCCACTGCCGCTTCCTCACAGGGTTATCGTAGAGGACCCACTTCTCATCTCCAGTGATCATCGAGTTGAGAAAGTGAAGCCTCTTTTGGAAAGTGAGGAGAGAAGTGCAGGTGGTCACCCTCCTCGAGAGGTCATAAGCGGACAGTTCATGTGGGACCCATCGACCAAGCTTTGCTACCTTGCCGAGCTTTTCTAGTCCACGTGCAACCGTCGAATGATCATAGCTAAGCATGGTCGCCATTTCTCTGGTGGTGAGGTACGGGTCCTCCTCCACGGTGGAACGTAGTACTTCCAAATCCAACTCCATCGGCCGACCCGACCTCGGAGCATCTTCGAGAGAAAAGTCTCCTTTCTTGAATTTGGCGAACCAATTCTTGCATGTCATGTAAGAGATGACGTCCTCACCGTATGTATCCACCAGCTTGGTATGGGCTTCCTTTGCATTCCAGCCGAAATCGTGGAGCAAAACCAAACAGTGGCGCAGGTACGTTTTGTCACAGTGCAAATTGTGCGACATTGTGTACTGCAAATGCAAGCTCGGTGAGTGATAGCTAGTGTAATGAAAGAGTATAATGTACACGTCACGCACACGTGATGACGTAATACCAACATCCATGCGAACGAAATAGGAGAGGATCAAACACGTGTATAAGAACTTATGCGACAACCTAATAGGCTGCTTTTATACTTTGCGGCAGCGTCCACCAGCGACCGTTAGCGTTCCGAGCGTCGTCAGCGTCAGCAACCAGGAAATTATAGATATCTATCTAGCGAACGGCAGCATCAACGTCCACCACCGTTAGCCAGCGACTATCATCCTCTCGAGGGACCAGGAGAGTATAGGTATCGATCCAGCGTCTACCAGTGTCCACCAGCGATCACTAGCGTCTAGAAGTCGATATCATGTAGCAGTATGGTGCGGTTGCACACGCCACGATGCCTAATCCTACTGCTCCTCCTTCCCACTTCCCAAACCCTAACAGAGTTTGCTACCCCTCTTCTTCCCCATACTCTCTATTCTACTACTGGTCGCTACTGGACGCTAGGTCTACATCCGCCCATCCATTCCTTGTCCCTCGAGACGCTGATGGTCGCTAGCGGACGCTGCCGCAAAGTATGCACGCAGCATGGCGTGCCATGGACCATGGGCTTGACACCAACCTGTTTTTTCTTTTTTTTTTCTACAAGCGACAAGGCCGTATGGTATCGTACGTATCAGTCGTCTTCCACCAGTGTTGTCGCTTACTCGCTTTACAACTAGTGGAGTGCGGATTGGCAGCGCGCCAAATCCAGCCTCACTGACAAGCCCCGTCCAACACTGACTGCATTCCTTATTTCTATTCAGAAACTCGAATTTTGAATGGGGAATATTGTTAATGTGAAATCGAGTCACGTCACACTATTTTTTAGGCAACTACATTCCACCTGCCTACCCACCACCATACTATTCTGATCCGGTTGGTTCCTATTACTATTCTGATCCGGTTGGTTCCCATTGAATTATCTACATAGGTTGCACGATTTCTTAGTTTTGCATGTTTTTTCTGAACCCAACTAGTGGCTTTCTTATGTTAAAAAACCTCACTTTTTCTAGAGTTTGGTGCTTCTTGAGTTACCCGTACGAAAATAATTCCTTTCTTTCTCACGATAGAATCTGATAATTTCATCTATTCGGGACGATTTTCGAGATTCGGTACCCGGTGTTCTAGGATGTTCGCGACTTGATCGTTTCCTCGTGAATTTTTTTGTGAATTGTGTAGAAGTTCATGGACGCTTTTCCTCTGCTCGCCTTCTGTGGAGAAGGAGAGAACGACGGCGCGACTAACGTCGATGCCCGGCTCTTTGTTTCCGAAAATTTCTGACAGTCCCTTTAACCGGGCATTAAAGCTCAACAATCAAAGGTTTTCCGTTTAAGATGCGCCCTGCATTGAGTGTCCCGAAAACGAAAGAATTTCTCGATGAGAATCCACGAGAAGCGTTCGCTCGGCGAGTGAAACGGCAGGTAGGATTCGCAAAGAGGGCTCTAATAATGTCCTAAGAAAACTCACTGATCGTTGTCCTCGAAGACTAATTACATATTCTGCTAACTATGTGCTAATTAAATGCTTTTTGTTCAATACGCATTTGGCGATAGCTGAATGGGCGGAAAAATAGGGAGCGGATCCATGACATCTTCACTAGTACTTTCTCCCAATCATTGCGTCAGACAGAAGCTACGGCGCGCTAATGACGAAAGTATGATGGTCTGAGTGCCCGCCCGTCTTCTCCGCCCCTTTGATCATCGCGGAATGCGCTCTCGAACGCTGCAGTGCCGAAGAGTGGTGATACACAGTTAACAATGGTTCCATGCTTTAGCTTAATGCTCAGCTTTTCAGCTTTTCTAGTTTCTGAGCTTTAGTTTCAGTTCAAATATAGTACATCCTAATGATAGTCATTTTCAGTACTACTATGGAGGTTACCCCTATGGCTATTCCAATCCTGTCGGTACCGGATCACCATGGGCTAATGGTGGTGGCCTGGTTGGTAACGTTATATCTTTTCTTGTCGGATAAGAAACGCTCGAGCTCATCTGGCACTGCTTACAGCTCCGATTTACTTGTAAATATGCTTGTAAATAAATCCTGCAATAAACGCTGTAAAAATGTCTGTTGCCAAAGAGATATTCAGCCGAGAAACCCGGAGAAACAAGAATTGAATGCCGTGTGAGTTTCACACCAATCATCCATGGACAACCTCGGGAGGGTCAGTCTGCCGATATGCGTCACGTGGTGACATGCTTGGCGCCAGCGCAGATAAAGGAACGGAAGCGACCCTGCGACCATGTCTGCCATGCAAAACTCTGACTCTGCTCGCCCGCGATCTGCTCAGCCTAAGCGAGAGAGGAAATGAAATGAGGCGCTGCACCTCCTTCCCCCAAACCTTCTTCATGACCAAAGAAATATCACTTTATTAGTCGATGAACAATCCTGATTATTCCAGAGAACAGAAAGAAAGAAATAAGTTGCACAGAATACCAGAAAAATCTGAAGAAGCGCTCACAATCGATGAGAATGTAGGGAAAAGTTGGCGTCACAATCTCCTTATTGTGCCTAAAAGCGAGTGATCAACAATCGTTTCTATTGTGATAAACAATGGCGTCAAGGTCTTGCATATCACCACCGTCGACAATATGACTCGCAGACAACGCGCACAATTCACGACTTCTGAAACTGATCAATTAAAGGCAAATTCCATAATATACGAGTGGGCGGAGATCCGCAGCCGTCTCTCCAATGGGAGGATCCCTTTATAGGACAGTGAAAACAAGTTGTGCGCCAGTAATATGAATGGCACAATCCCCGCAAATCTTCTCGTATTTCTTTAACCCTTCTGTAATCCGGAATGTTTTGAGCAATCAAAGGGGGGGGGGGAATAAAGAAACACGGTAAGCGGTGAATATATAAAGATCCTCTATGAGAGGCTTCAAAGCTGTAAGCTTCAGCGGTGCACTCGGAGTGGGACACCATTGGCTTTGGGACGACTTATTAATATAGGTGCCGAAACAGTTGTTTACAGAAAGCGAAAAAGTTGTAAATGATGAGAAAGAGATAGAAGTACTCAATCTATTAAGTACAGCACATTGGCCCCACCAGTATGTTATAATGAAAGGACTTTCCTGAGCAAAAGAATAGAGGCAGTTTGAAAATAAAAAAAGGAAACCAACATGTCAAAAGCCACTCCGAGACATTTCTTCCCATGAAGGCATCTCCAGCAAAGCCGGCAAATATCTGTGCACTGCTCTAGCGAATAGGCCTTGGTGATTCGAGACTCTTCCATTGGGCGAAGTGGACGTACCTCTCTGAAAGGAACCGTGTAAAGGCAGCTTGCAGAGGTATTAATGGCCGTCTTACTGATGCAGAACCTATTCAATGAACATCAGCGAAGTCGGAAGCAGGTTAAAAATAGCGATGTCCTAAGGACATGGAGGAACCCTCTGTATCTCAGAGCGACGTTCAAGGCCAAGAGAGTTAAGGGGAGGAAACCACGCAGTGAGAATAGGTACCGCCTCCTAGCGCTTTTTAGGGTTAACTTTAATGAAAGAGGACTACAAAAATGTCTGAGCACCTCCTAACTTCCTTGGTCCTCGTGTTTCCGTCAAATATGTCAGAGAGAACTTGTCAGAATCATCACTTACGATGATTCCTCCCACCGTAAATCCGGAGAGGCGGAGCCTTAACCGCCCAGACGAACATGTGAAGTTTTATGTAGCTATACACAACGTCGGTTTAGTTCAGTCAACTGAAGACGCTCGTAGAAAGTGGTGTACTCATCCCCGTGGACCACCAAGGAGTACCTGTCCAAAGAATCCAAACGTACCCTGAGTTTTGAGCTACAGGGTTCAGCGTGAGTTTGTGAGTTAGGGCATCTGGGTCTTGCTCTAGGTGGCCCCACAGTAGAACAAGACGTCCTGCCGTGGGAGAAACGACCCCCGCCCCTCAACGTGCCTCCTGTGCTACAACCTCCACCTTTTTCATTCCCCATACCTTCCTGAATCCTGCCAATTTCTTACCACTTTTTCAGGATTTACGTGCACTGATGACAACTCTGACCTAGTTAGGCCTCCATAGGACCTCATCATGAAAGTCGGGTTCGAATGCATCCAATCAGAGTTACCCATCCACTTACTTGAAGCATTCCTTGATCCTGGAATCTCGTAATCGCTTGCCATAGCCGACATCCATAGGAGTCTTCTTCACAGCCAGGTCTACATTATATGAGTCGATCACCTTAAATGCGTTATACAGTACGCGCTGACGAGAAATATACGGTGCACAGCATACCTTAGGGTTGATTGTAGTGGGCTTTTCCGTCGTAGTGGGGCGTGGTCGTCGCATGGGTAGTGATCTCGTCAAAAATATTGTGAGCCGCTACCGTGTCGGAGGGAGCATCATAGCCGGATAATTCAAGTACACCAGGACTAGTCGGCTATAAGAAGCTTTCTAGAT